CTCGATCCAACAGTTTACCTATGACGTCAAGTTCATGCATACCAAATATCATTCATAAATAAATATCCATGCCGGAAATATAACACAAACTGAATGGGAGATAGCACGTACCTTGCAACTTAAAATGAGCAGTAACCTGTTGTAATAATCTAAACTGACACAACGCTCATTATAAAAACAATAGGGAAATAAAATAAAATAATAAACAAAAAAACAATAACACCAGCGCCATCACGAACAAAACAACAACAAAACTAAAAGGGCTTTACTACTAATAAACACGATAAATTCTCTAATAATGTTGTTTAAAGGTAAAAAGACTAGGCCTATCATTTTAAAAGTTTGTGACTTTTATTCTTGCGATTAATTATGTTGTGTTTTATCTTTGCCTTCAGCTTATATCCGTATTCAAGCTAAGCATAGGCCCTGTTTTCATTTATACATTATTATGAATATATATCTGATACAACAGCGCTTCTCAACCTTTGTTTTAATCTCGAGACCCGCCTTTCCACAACTTAACAACAACAACAAATTATTGTGTGTTAATTGTAATGTGAAGAGTGACTGTCGACATTACTAATTTCATAAAGACATATATCTTTAAGAAAAAATAGCATGTACAAATTTACAGATGTTATGTTTTGGCCAACCTCATGGCACACCTGACATAGCTTCACGACCCACGGGTTGAGAAGCTATGTTTTAAAGCTATGAAAGGGTCCTGGTGAAAAGCAATTAATGTTGATTTGGGATACCCTTTCCAAAATGAATGAAATGAATGAATAAATAATCATAATCAATTGATACAAGACTTTACAATACTTTTCTTTATTTCAGCTGTTATATTGTCGACACATAATTTTGTACATGCGTCATGCTATAATCTTGAAGTTAAATGCGTGCAATGTTGTTTTTAGATCTAATTTTTTGCTGGATAGTATTTGTACTCCTCTCTCTATGAGCGTTTGTCTGTCTCTCTCTGTCACTCACTCTCTTTCCCTCTCTCTCTGTATCCATGTCTCTCTCGCTCTCTCTTCTCTCTTTCTATCTCTTTCTATCTCTATCCCTCCCCTCTTTCTCCCTACACCTCGATGTCTGTCTCCCTATCTCTCCCTCTTTCTCCCTCTCTCTCTTTATTTCTGTTTCTATTTATGTCTGACTCTGTCTCTCTTCTTCGTTCTCTCTCGATTTTGATCAAAGCCTTTGATATATTTCTATCCTGCTGTTTCTCATCTGTCTCTTAAAATTAAATCCACTCTATACATTTCACGTATGGATTTTCGGGTAAGTCTATACTACTCTTATATGTGACTATTTCTCTCTTCACCCCCTTACTTATCCTATTCTCTTCACCACTCCTTACTTTGTTTATGATGCTACCCGTATTTGAGTAGTTCTGTATTATGGGGTATCTTATGTAGCATGATTACGGTGATTATTTCATTTCTTTTCATTTATCAGCACTTTCACCTTCTCTCTCTTCATCTCCTTCTCTCTGCTTGTCGGTTTCTCCTCCCCCCTCTCTCTCTCTCTCTTTCTCTCTCTATCTCACTCTATATTTCTCTCTTGCAATATCTTCTTATCCTCTTTCCGTTTTCCCTTGACCTCGTATATATTACGTACATGTTTATGTTGTTTTGATGTTACATATTATGTATTATGCAAGTGATCGTCACATTTCTATGTTAATTTTGTTAAAGATACGAATCGATTAAACAAAACTATTATAGTACACAATTCGTGATATTCCTGTACAGACTACTTGGGAGCGAGCAAAGCAGATGTACAGCATGTTCCGACATCCAGGTGCGTGTTGAAAGTATACTTAAGATCCTCTTTCAAGGAATATACCAAATCACAAGAAATTAGTATTTAAGACTACTGTAACAGTAAAGAATCTATCCCCAAAACCGAAATAAATGTAAAACCTTTCATAACGGATGCTACAGATATTAATCTTGGCGTTATTCTGTGAAGAATATTATATGAGGAAATAGAAGCTGAAAGTACATTTCGCAATCGTTATGTTTTTATACCACATTGACTTTCGCTAAAGTACACTTAATGATTATTCGAAACAAAAAAATCAGAGGTTATATCATCAGTCCATTTCAAAGCGGATGTAAAGCATGTTCCGGTAGGCCGGGTGCGTGCTGAAAGCAGACTTGAGATTCAAAGAATTATACCAAATCATCATAAATTAGTATTAAAGACTACTAAGGAAATAGAAGCTGAAAGTACATTTCGCAATCCTTATATTTTTCTACCATTTTAACTTTCACGAAAGTACACTTAATGACTATTCGAAACAAGAAATCAGAGGTTATCCTCACATTTCAATACAATTCTATTTCCGCTCATTTACATGAGAAAACTTGGCTGAATAATATGAAGGTAGACATTGTCCTATAGATCCAGAAATCGACAAACACTGGTGGTGGTGGTGGTTGTGGTAGTGGTGGTGGGGGAGGGGGTAGGGATGGCGCGAAAATTTACCTCGGGAGTGTATGGGTATAATGCTACCTATAATTTAAAGTTGTATTAATGAAGCAATTTTCCCAAAATCTGGGGCAACCATTATTACTCAAACGTTTCTTTCTCAATTTGTTCCAAGACAAAAATATAACTCTCTGTTTTTTTCTTCCAAAATGGATGACTCATGGGATCATTTTCTTTAAATATATACATAGATGCATGTATAGAAAGAGAGAAGGATAGAGCGATTGAGAGAGGCAGAGAGAGAGAGAGAGGCAGAGAGAGAGAGAGAGAGAGGCAGAGAGAGAGAGAGAGAGAGAGAGAGGCAGAGAGAGAGAGAGAGAGAGAGGCAGAGAGAGAGAGAGAGAGAGGCAGAGAGAGAGAGAGAGGGGGGGCAGAGGAGTTCATTCTCTTTCTGCCTTCGTTCATGAGGATAGAGATAGAGAGAGAGAGAGAGAGAGAGGGGGGGGGGGGAAGAGGAGTTCATTCTCTTTCTGCCTTCGTTCATGATTTCAACGACTACCCCGGTATCAGTCATTGTAGTAGTAGTAGTAGTAGTAGTAGTAGTAGTAGCTGAAGAAATAGTAGTAGAAGCAGAAGTACTAGCATCAGTAGAACTATTCTAGTATTAGTATAATAGTTGGTGTTGTTGTTGTAGAAGTAGCAGTACTAGAAGTATCAGTAGTATCAGTGGCGTACGCAGGAATTTTTCAAGGGGGGGGGGGGTAAGGTCACCTTTTTTAGGTAAGCCATGGGCATAATTTTTTTCTTTTTTTGTGGTTGGTTTTTATAATAACAACAAAATATAAAAATATTTAAAAAAAATAACCAAGGAGGGGGGGGGGGGTTAAAAATATACACATAACAAATACCCCCCTGCGTACGCGCCTGAGTAGTATAGTAGAAGCAGTGGAAGTAGTAGTCATAGTACTTTTAGTAGTAGAAATACTAGTAGGTTTAGTAGCAATAGTAGTTGTTGGTATTGTTGTAGAAATAGCAGTACTAGTATCAATAGAAGAAGTAGTATCAGAAACAATGGGAGTAGTAGTCATGGTCCGTTTTAGTAGTAGTAGTAGTAGTATTAGTAGTAGTTATAGTAGTTGTAGTAGTAGTTGTTGTTGTTGTTGTAGTTGTAGTAGCAGTAGTATCAATATTATAAGTAGTAATATTAAACCTTGCCACCCGCTGCTTTCAATCATTATCGTATCAAAACAGTCCTTCAGATATATTGTCGTCGTCTTCGTCCGTCATCGATGTTGATGTTTTTGCTGTTTAATGTTCCTCAGCAAAATACAATCGACCAACAAAGAAAGGGAAAAGGCTCTCTCCTTTTTGAATAATTATGATGCCGTTACAATACGCTTCACATTTCTTCTTTCAAAGCACAGAGTTCAGTGAAAACCCGTATCACACTTTTTTTGCCATTATCTTACACAGCTATACCACTTCCTTGTTGGTATATTACATTTTAACTTATTTTTAGTACTATTATATTTTAAGCGATTAATATGAAAGGTCTTTACAAGTGTACTCTCTGACTATCAGAAACTTTCAGAAAAATATATTTTGGAGATATGGCAGTTGTAAGCGATGCTCCCACCCGCCCCCCCCCCCCTCCTAAAAAAAAGGGGGGGGGGATACAAGCTAAACTGTGATTATTCATTTTAAATTAAGGACAAGTTCCATGATTAAATATTTGCAGGTTGGACATGATTGACCACAAATACATATTTTCCCTCCGCGAACATTGATATTGCAAATTTAGGTCACTAAATTATTTTATAGTCTAACAATAATGGATAGTTTTGTATGACACATATCAACCACGCAGGGAGCTCAAGGCGCCGAAATACTAATCCTGCTAGGCTATCGATTTCAGTGCTCACTGAAATTAATGAATCCCTTCCTTCCGGTACTTATTCAACACATGGGTGGAGAGAGGCAAATGAAGGTCAAAGGCGCCGCAGCGGGACTCGAATCGCAAACCAAGTGATTCACAGTCAGACGGCGAATGGACTATACCACGACACCTACACAATTATAATTATATTCGTTAATATTAGCATCAAGAGTAGTTATATTGCCCTGGTGCCATGTGACCTAAAACCGTGTGCAAAACTGGCTATAAAGGAAACGCGTCAATCAGTCTGATTGGTTGTTTGAAGAGATATCATTTGCATAATACCATGTAGATGTTTTATTGGGCGTTGAAAAGTGACTGTCTGGTGTTAATATCTAGCACAGCGAATTTAACAACTATCAATGTTGCCCTGGTGCCATGTGACATAAAACCGTGAGCAAAACTGACAATAAATATTCAAGGAAACGCGGTAATCAATCTGATTGGTTGTTGGAAGATATCTCGTTTGCATAATACCATGTAGATGTTTTATTGGGCGTTGCAAAGCGACTGTCTGGTGTTAATATCTAGCACAGCGAATTTAGCAACTATCAGTGCCGCATAAAGTCTTCTTCATGAGCGGTTAACAGGTCTTCCGAAGATCGAAGAAATACCTCCATCTTACCTGCGAAGGAACACATTCTTGCACTGACACAATTTTGTATTATTCTCATTTCATGAAGAGGAAATCATTATAAAGGACTACTATTTATCAACATTTCTGTACATGTTTGCGTTTCATACTTTACTTTAAAAAATAGGCCTGGTAAAGTCCTCTTTGTGTGTCATCAATCTCAGCCAAGATTGTATGACTGGTTGCCAATAAACCTGCCGAAATACTGAACCTTTTACTAATGAAGAGATCTGAAAGAAAGCTACATTAGCCCATTGCTCAGCTTTGTCCGGTCAATCTTCGCTAGATTCTACAATCATCAACTTCGCTGGTCAGAATCCGACATCCAACTAAGTGAGTACATCTCGAAATTGTATGTAGATCCCTAACTTCATTTGTCTCTGATATATACATGTATATGTATATGAAGAGCTTATTCCGAAAGGTGATTAATACACTTTTGACCGTAATTGATTTTTTTTTCTTCATAAATATACGCGTCAAACACAATAAGGAGCAATTGCACTTTGTATTGCATATTAAAAACGTGTTTGTTGAAAGTTAGTCCATTTCGATAACAAATTTTCATTTCATTCCAAAGGGGCTACTGTACATTCAAACTCGTTTTATTCCGAACGGACTTGATTCCATTGGGGCGATAACGAATTTGTTCACTAATTTTAATCACGTTTCCTATTGCTGAAAGCCTCGGTCACAGATCCCATCACGAACTGGTACGAACGCCGTACGAACGATTTTCAGACCATTTCGTTAGATCATCTTTTAAAGAAGGCCGTTTGAAACCAGCGTTCGTAAATCGTTTGTAGACCGTTCGGAAGTTCGCAGACTGGTCGATGGTCTTGTCCAAGATTTTGTTAAACCTCGTACGAAACCCCTCTTCGTAAGGAAGCTATAGGAGCGTCGTAATAACATCGTAAGAACCACGCACGATCTTCGTACATTACGTAGGGTCGAAAGGAAATTCTAGAAGCCTCAAATTCTTACGATCTTAAGCCTTAAGTTGTCCATAGGGGAGGGCTCTTACGGCGTTCGTAAGAACTCCTAATGAACGAAGATTCGTATGGCCTTCGTACGAACTACTCTTGACGTGCGTGATGCGTTCGTAAGGTGCTCGTAAGGTGTACGTACACAATTTATGCAATTTATGAAGCGCTTTTTTGCAGCCCGACAAAATATACAACAAATCGTATGATATCTTCTCACGAATGATTTGAGAATGCCGTCAGTTACACGGACGACCATCTTGCGAGAACAACAACTCGTAAGATGGCCGTAAGCCTGACGTAAGAAGAACTCAAGGCATCCTTAAGGAAAAAACAAAGAAAATCTAAACGGCGTTCGTACGAACGCCGTAAGAAGGACTTAAGCATCTTTGCCACATCTACGAATCTCTACGAATTCTGGAATTCGTACGAACCTTTGTGACCATAGCTTTAAATTTCATAATTTTTAATGTATACGGTACAATTGCCAGCCTAGATGATCAGCGCAAAATTGCATTAAGTTTAAAATATCATATTATTTCAACGATCTTTTTTTAGATTAAGCTCTTTTTTAGATGAAACATCTACAAGCGCTGTTTCCAGAAGATTTTGTTTCTTCAAAACCAAACAAACATCAACAAACAAACAGAAAACAGTCAAACGCAACTTTATTCTTAATAAAGAAGCTTAATCTACATAAATCAGAATCATGAACATTTCTGAAATTATATGATTTATTATTTGATTTCTTTAAAGATGATAAACATTATGTGAGGCAATATACCTATGATATATGAATATATATACGTTAAAGAGGATGTAATACCTTTCCATCAAAACTGATAACTTAAAAGTCCTTGATATACTTTTTAAAAGATCCCCGCTAAAATGTAGCACCTTCTGGATTGAAACTCTCCGTTTAACGAAGAATGAGTTACATACATGAACGACATCTATAGAGAAAGAGTGAAGGACAGACACACATACACACATACACACAGAAAACATATAGACTAAGAGAGAGAATGAAAAAGACAGTGGGAGGAAAAAAGAATGGATTCGATCTGTTTGATAATCCAATAAAAATGTGATATTCGTGGATTGTGATGATGATAATGTATTTGCTAAGAGCCTTTGTTATCATTGATGTGAACATAACCTACTAACTAGATGACACAAAAAAGATGACGCAGGAAGTTGAGTATTGAATGCAAGGCAATGAAATCAAGAGATATGTAATTAATGTAAGTCTTTGTCGCGTAGTAATTCATGAAGGAGGCACATAACGGTAAATCTGTCAACTAAAAATGAAAATAACTGCATATTCTCTTTGCATATAATTTTTCAAAAATGAGATAAGATTTGCTGCGGTAATTTAAATGAAAAGATCACCTTTCGTGTTGAAAGGTACCAATGCTTGGATCAAGTTACACAAATCTTTGCTTTAAAAAGAAAACATAATGTATTGCCTGTATATCATGATTATCCACAGCATTATTAGTTCGGTGCCCGGGTGGCGACCGCCCAGGCACCGATCGTATTTTGTGCGGCGAGTGAAAAGTGGGCAGGCGCCGCCCAAATTTTAACGCCGCGCTAAAACTTCAGCGGCGACCGAGCGATGCCCTAAAAACGAGCGGTGCCTGGGCGGCCGCCGGGCAGAATTGGTTAAAAACTCACCGCTCGGCCGCCGAGCAGGCTACTTTTGGGTAATGTGACCATAGCATAAAGCACAAAAAAGAAACTCTTAACATTTTGAAGCCTTACCCCCCCCCCGCACACACACTGAGAAAGAAAATTGCCACAATACCATGATGACTGCAGACCTGCTGGTATGCAACATTGATTTACTGTTCCACTATAAAGAAGCTATGTTCATATTAAGTTTCAAAATCTTTACTTTTGTTTATTTTCCCCAAAGGTATGGCGGCTTATAAAGGTATTGCCGATGATCTTCTCTCCAAGCTGGCTGAAGACATCGAGACGGGTGAGCAGATGGAGGCCTTAGGACGAACACTCCGATTCAGGGTCGCAGACATCAATAGATACACAGAGACCAATAGGATAGAAGGACGTGTGACTTGTAAGGGAACACGTGACATGCTGTTTGACTGGAGACAGACCGTGGTGCCTTGCGACCAGCATCTCAGACTGAAACAAGCTCTCATTGACGCTGAGCTGGTCATGCTTGCTGATACATATCTCAAGGGGACACCAATGATTCAAGGTTGGTCTATCAGTGCTAGAGCGCCTAAAATCACCGCTCATGCATGTACCTGTACACGTACATTGTTTTGAGAACATGAACTTAGAACATTTCCATGAAATCTAATTTATGATGTAAAGTAACTTGTTTCTGTCCAAAGATACCCTATTTAAAATATTTCTCCCACGGGTAACCGAGCACCAGAATCTTTAACAATTGTTGTCAAAATCACCTTGTACCAAGTTTGGGCTGATATATCAAATGTAGGTCAGACCATATTCAATGCGCTTCTTCGGTCTATCAACTTATTTCATATCTTATGGTATGTAACTTTTGACCCACATTCATTGCCTCAGTCAAAACGTGGTACATGAGGATTTTGACAATACTTTTTGAAAAGCCTGCTGCTCAATCATCCGCGGTTACCGTATAGCACAATTACGAATGTGGTACTAATTACCATTTAGCATTTACCATTTTATATAATTCAAGGTCAGATATGTTATGAATTTTATTCAGAAGCTACCAAAGTTGCGCATAATTTTTCAATACGAAATTTATGAGGTTGTTAAAGGACAGGATCGGTTCATTTCAAGTTCCTTCATCCTCTGTCTTTCCGTCACCTCTATTTGGAGGAGTCTCTTGCAGCACGTTAGGGCGGGCAGATGATGTATTGATGCTATTTACTGTGTTCATCTGATCATAATTTGACTCCTGGAAAAGCCGTGTCGAACGTGTACTAATATTTGCTTATCCGTTTATCTTTCTATCAAGAACACATAAAACTAATAAATATTCAGAATTTCAAAATGTAAACAGTTGGGGAAAAAGACACCCGGCTTCAATAAAAACAAAATACTTTTAAATTGTATTTTGTACAAAGCAATACTCTTTTGAATATATATGGTAGTCAAATGAAGTTCAAGGATCTTAACATTTCTCAAATTTTCATATCAATTTGAAGAAATATTTCCCTACTAAGGGCATTTAACCCTTTGTAATGAGTTAACTTGCGTGAAAGCAGAATAAAATAAGAGAATATGAATAGCGAAAATTGTAATTTGAACCAATCCAATCCAAAAGATTTTTGATATTAATAGCGCTAAGCGCCTTTTCCTTTTCCAACAACAAGAACATTTTGAATCTTTCAATTATGTCATCACTATATACATATATTTGCGAAGCTCACATTGGCCATTTGGTCAGTGGATTGTGGCGGAGATACCGACAACTCTCCCGTTTGTCGTGAAAAAAACAACAACATTAATTTCTGTTTTTCTCATAAGCACTATCTACCTTGGGGTACTATTCAAAATATACTATGGATAGCATATATATTATATGTCCTTTTAAAAATTGACAATCTTCCTAAGTAAGACATTTCGACAAATTGACATTTAGTCATTCCGTGTGTTGGAAAATTGGGAAAGATGTACTATACATCACCGTAACATTATCGATTCTGTCAATTTGAAATGCCCTTGCGTCATTCACGTATAGGGAATGCAACTTAAAAAAATTAAAACGCTATTACCCCATTGGAAATATGCTCTCGATCTTTCGTGGGTTATCCTGTTCAAGCTTGCTTATTTCTGATCTGTTATTATTATATATTGTTGTATGTTGGAAGCTTGTCGAATAAAAATCAATCAATCAATCAATCAATTATTGGTTGTCCGATTTCGTTTGAACTTTCGCCAGACTGGTTCTCTAAATTTGTTTGCTTCATGTCAGAGCAGTTTGCTATTAAGGTTGGATTTCCTTATGTGTATTTCCCGGCCTTTGCTTCAAGGGGAACGAGGAACATGTCTGAACAATGAAACCTGATGTATTAAAACAACAAAATATTAAAAAACTTAGCGAACCAAATTTGGTCGTGAGGAAAGGGGCTAAGATCATGGGAGTACAATACGTCACTTTGTCTCATATGCTTATATCATTCCAGATATCCCCAGTAAGAAGATCTCGCCATCATTGACCGTTCAACGATGTCGCGAAAAGTTGGAGAATAAGTACCTTAATCAATTATGCAAAATTCCAATGAAACCGTGGGATAAAAGTGATTATGCTGAGTTCAAAGATATACACACGGTTGTGACAATGGTGACGAAGGACGCTCGTGGCCAAGACACGAAAGAGAAGGAAATACTCCAGGGTTCTGTTGGTGACATTTTTTCGACGAAAGTAAACGGAAGACTGCCAGCTCGAATCCTCATTTCGGCCCCAGCTGGACGAGGGAAGACCACGGCTGTTGCTAAGATGGCATACGACTGGGTTCATAGAGAAAAGGGGTCACCATTAGAACTACTGCCACTTCTGTTTGTGGTGAAATTCCGAAACACAAGTCAGCGTACATCGATTGGAGAAGCAATTAAATCCCAGCTTTTGAACGATGTTGATGATCTCACACCAGAGGGTGTGGAGAGTTTCATTAGAGAAAATCAGGGAATATGTCACATCATACTAGACGGACTAGATGAGTATGCCGGTATTCCTTCTGCAAACCGAAGCTCAGAGAGCAATATGGTCAGTGTCATCCGCTGGGAGGAATTTCCAGAGTGTCGGGTCCTTGTAACAACACGCCCTCACCTAGAGAACTTCTTCAATCAAGATGATCTTCCAACGGTATACACAAAGATGTGGATCGAAGGATTCTCGCAAGAGAGCTCACGAGAGTACATCGACAAGTTCTTTGCTTCGACTTCGAATCCTTGTCGTGGACATGGACATGATCTGAAGGTTTACCTTGATGACCAACCACTGATTAATGAGCTTGTTAAAACACCTTTATTTTGTCTCATGGTCTGTCACTTATGGAGCGAGGGGATGTTGAACACTGAAACTGCAACTCAAACAGAATTATTAGACAGTGTGAATGATTTTCTGATGCACCATGCCAATGCAAAATCAAAATCAAAAGACGAAATAACAAAAGAAGAACTAATCGAAATCATTCGTAAACTTGGTAAGGTTGCTCTAGCTGGTCTAATAGACGACTCTAAAAAAATAGTTTTTACGCCCCATGATTTTCGAAAAATTCCTGGTCTCCTTGATAGGGCATGTGAGCTTGGGTTGTTATCCAACATGACGATTCCAACGACAAGGCTCCCACGAACCCACAAGACCAATTCCACGACCATTGAATTTTATCACAAACTCGTTCAGGAACACTCGGCTGGGAAATACCTTGCTGCTAAAACGAAGAAATATATGTTACGACTGAATATTTCTAAGTTAGATAGACTGCTGCGAAACATCAAAGCAAACATCGGTGACTATGAGAATCTCATCCGATTTGCTGCTGGCACAGATAACAGCCTTTGCATACGAATAATGGAGGCGCTCCTTTCCAACCGCTTTTTGGATGAGAGCGAGCGATATCGCATTCTCCTTGACTGCTCATCAGAGACTAAGGGTACTCAAGGAAACGTGTCTTCATTGGTTCAAAGATGTGTTAATGCAGAGAGTATTGTTCTGAAGTCACCGACTGTCTACACCGTCGTTGGGATGCAAAACCTTCCAAAGCAACTTAAACGTCAGGTATGCACATTTTCATTTCATAAAATGCGTTTAAAATAATCATTTAATAAAGATTGTTTTAATTTTCATTTCTCTGCTGCAACTATAAGTCAAATAGCTAATATATTTGTGTAATTGTATTCTTATTCATAATTAATTGCATCGTGATAAATCATACTGCATGATATATACAACGATAAATACGTTTGATACATATTCATTATTATTCTATGTTCGCCCAACTACGGCCTCGATCAAGGTCCTGTATAAGAGAAACAAGAACAATAATTTGAAACAAAATAATAACAGAATACATATTTAATAAAGGTCCTGGAACCTATTCATTTATAGAAAATGACGAGGGACATTCAATATAAACATGTAGCCCATGTAAAACAAAGGAGCTGTTTATTCAACATGGAAGATAATATTTGGTTACTTATTAATGTAAATGAGTAAGGGAGGGAGCTCCAATTAGTCACCGGGTAATATTATGAGATAAGATCAGGCTACAGTCTGCTTGTTTTAATGATTACCGCAATAATCAAGAGATCAACTAATCAATGTTATTTTATTCGTACAATCTGTCTTTAATTCGCTTTCTTTTACTCTCTCTATCTCTCTATCTTAACACTAGGTTATGACTGTAAAGTTCGAGGGATCTACTTTAACTGCCGACGTGACGAGTGGACTATGGTCTTGTCTGGGGTCATTTTCGATGCTTCGTACTCTCACCATCTCAGACTCCTCTCTCAGTTTCTCTCCATCTCCTCCTGAGCTTCCATCCGTAACAAAGCTATCAGCCAAGAGAGTGACGTCACAAAGCTATGAAGGTTTGTTCTCATCGCTCCCTGGCTTGACAGATATCGATATAGATGTCGATGATGCAGAGAGAGACATACCTCAGATCACGGCTTGTCTGCGTCGGACCGGAGGACAGCAGCTCACACGCATCGAGCTTACAGCAGTGTCATCACTCCTATCAGAGAAGAGCAGTGTATCGAGAGAGACGATGAGAGGCTTGGGTCTACTGATCAGAGAACAAACCAAGAACCTGCAGCGGCTAGATCTGAGATGGGTGAAGTGCTCGGACGAAGACTTGGTTGAAATTGCCGAGTCGTCAACCTTTCTGAAAGCATTGGATAGTCTTCATTTACAGTGAGTTTGGGACTTTACTCTCTCGCAAACATAGCGATTTTGTGCTATCATATATAAGAGCAGAAATTAAACAGAAAGTCTAACTGTAAACTAGAAAAGGCGAATAACAGGCTTATTTGTTATGTGCTTTTGTTTCATCAAATAGTATTGAGTGTATATATCTACGTTAATGTCTTTGAACGCATTACGAACTATCAATTCAAGATCAGTAAATAAACATACACAAAATGTTGGAAAATTAAAAATTATAATCAAAATTGGTTAGATGAAAAGAGGGTGTATACAAATAATATAAAAAAGTCAATGAGATAATTTCAATTGGAATCCTCTACTCCGCCCCAGCCAGCTTAAGTGCTTCTCGCGGAAGTGGAGTGTTTTGGGGCTCTTGGGGTATAATTGTTTTCTTTTTCTTATATCCCTACCTATTTTCATCCAAAGCTGACAATGTACACATTTACACATGTTTAGGCTGTTATTTTATTTTTTAACTAGCATTTATTATGGTACTACACTTACAACGTCTGTCGTTGTTTGTCACGCTATATTTGTATTATGTGTTTATGATATATAGATTTCTTATATAAATAACAATTAAAACAATCGAAATAATAATCCTTGAGATATTTTTTTCTCACTATGACGGGTTTCAAATTTTTTTTTTCAGATAGAAGAAATAAACTATGAAGAAATAAAATTGAAACCAGTCATAGGGAAGAAAAGAACTCTAAATGATTTTCATTTCGATTGTTTGAATTAGTGTGTGTATATTGCCGTGGCAGAGGATTATCACCATTACATTATTTGTTCCATATTATGTATATAAAATGTTATTAAACTCACTACGACCTTCTGCATTTTAGTATCATACGGTACTCACATGCAGGCCATGTACTATATCAGTGTTATGCCATAATATATCCCCGAAACACAATTCCCATAGTGTTTGTTTTATTTTTGTTCTTCGCTTTCTACTCTCTTTGTCAAATACTATAGGTCTCTTGATGGTGAATGTTTCGAATACGATCGAGAATCGGGTTTCCAGGTAAGAAAATATCTTAAACTAATAATATACGACTAAAAAAAATTAGGAAAGCAATTACTATTTGCGGCTGCCGGGAAAACGCAACTAAACTTTTTGTTCAAATAATACAACCAAAAAGCTCTTAGCTCTTACAGACAGGCGGGTACGCAGGGGGGGGGGGGGGGGGGGGGGGGTTGAACCCCCCCCCCCCCTCTTTGACTTTCTTGATGTGTGTGTTTTGAAATACCCCCCCCCCCCCTTTGCGAATATTTGTATAACAAAAATAATAATAATAAAAAAAATATATATATATAAACAATTATAATGGGTGACCCCCATAACCTGACTTCACCCCCCCACGAAATGAAATATCGATCGGCCAAATTGTCAAATTTTGGGACCAAAAACAAAATGTATGTCCTCTTACCCCCCCCCCCCCGTTTAATTAAATTATTACTCTTAATCCTTGTCTGAATTCATTTTAGCCCCTCCTGCGCAAAAAGCGAAAGCTTTGACGTTTTACTAACTTAATAGAGAAAGAAGACGATTCGTTGTACCGTTCTAGACTTTTAATCCTAGTCTGAATTCAGTTCTCCCCCTCCCGCGCGATGCGCGGAAGTTTTGGCGTTTCATTAAACTATTAGAGAAAGTAGACGATTCGTTGAACCGTGCTCGACTCCAAATCCTTTTCTGAATGAAGCTTCCCCCCTCCCGCGCGAAAGTTTCGACGTTTCCTTAAATTATTAGAGAAAGAAGACGATTTTTGTACCGTTCTCGACTCGTCTAAATTAAGTTTTTCCCCTTCCACGCGAAGCGCGGAATCTTTGGCATTTCATTACAATATAGAGAAAGGAAAACGATTCGTCATACCGTTCTCGACTCTTAATCCTTATTTGAATTCAGTTTTTCCCTCTCCCGCGCGAAGTGCGGGAGCTTTGACGTTTCCTTAAATTGTGAAAAAAATGCAGACCATTCGGTGTACTGTTCTCGACTCAGAATCCTTATCTAAATTCAGTTCTCCCCCTCCCGCGCAAAGCGCGGAAGTTTAGGCGTTTAATTAAATTATTAGAGAAAGTAGACGATTCGTTGAACCGTGCTTGACTATTAATCCTTTGACGTTTCATTAAATTATGAGAAAAAAACAGACGATTCGATGTACTGTTTTCGACTCTTAATCCTTATCTTAATTCAGTTCTCCCCCTCCCGCGCGATGCGCGGAAGTTTTGGCGTTTCATTAAATTATTAGAGAAAGTAGACGATTCGTTGAACCGTGCTCGACTCCTAATCCTTTTCTGAATGAAGCTTCCCCCCCCCCCCGCGCGAAAGTTTTGACGTTTCCTTAAATTATTAGAAAGGAAGACGATTTTTGTACCGTTCTCGACTCGTCTAAATTAAGTTTTCCTCTTCCACGCGAAGCGCGGAATCTTTGGCGTTTCACTACAATATAGAGAGAGAAAGGAATACGATTCGCCATACCGTTGTTGACACTTAAACCTCGTTTGAATTTAGTTTCCCCGAAAATTTTAAACCTCTGATTTATTTAGCTGATATTATAGGAAAGTGAAACGAGAAAATACAAGTATTGTAGTTGTAGTCACTCTCGAAGTCGTCACAGCGGATAAAAAATCACAGTTCGTAGGGAAAAAAACTTGTTGGCCGACCGACAATATACATCTCACCGACTTCAAACTTCTGCATTGATATTAGTACACGAGGATCGAGTAAGAATACCGACACAGCTGACCCGACACAGCAACAAAATTGACCGTGTCTTTCTTGCTCTCTCGACGAGACGACTCCACCGAACAACCCCCTTCTCTCTTTTACTCCCACTCCTCTTCTCTCAGGCTCTTACCCCCTCTCTCTCCTCTTTCATCCCCCGTTTCGTTTGTTTCCCGTTTACTCTTTGTTCTTCTTGTTTTCCTTTTCTTTCTTTTATTTCTTTTCCCTTTTTTCCTCTCCTCCCTCTTTTTTTTATTTTCTCTCTCTCTTTCTTTTCCTTTCTTTCCTTTCTTTTCCTTTCTTTCTTTTCTTTTCCTTTTATTTTTTCCTTTCTTTCCCTATCCCTCTTTTTTTCCCTCCCCCTTTTTCTCTTTTTCCCGACGGAAGCGCAATTTTACCGACAAAATCCTGACAGGTGGGGGGGGGGGGGGGTTTCGCACCCCCCCCCCCCCCTTTGGCGACGCCCCTGCTTACCTCCCCTCTCTCTCTCCTCTCTTTCACCCCCCCCCGTTTCTTTTGCTTCCCTTTTATCTTTTTTCTTCTTTTCCCCCTTTTATTTCTTTCCTTTCTTTCCTTTTCTTTTTTTTTCTTGCCCTTCCCTCTTCTTTTCCCTCCCCCTTTTCTCTGTGTCGTTTCATTTATTTATTAGAAAAAGAAGACGATACGTTGTACCGTTCTCTTCTCTTAATCTTTTTCTGAATTGTTTACCCCTTCCCGTTTCATTGAATTATTAGAGAAAGAAGACGATTCGTTGTACCGTGCTCGACGTTTAATCCTTGTCTGAACTCAGTTCCCCCCCCCCTCACGTGGAAGCTTTGATGGTTATTAAATTATAAGGGAAAGATGACGATTTGTTGTACCGTTCTTGACTCAAAATCCTTGTCTGATTTCAGTTTTCCCCTCCCACGCGAAGCACTGAAACTTTGACGTTTCATTTAATTATTTGAGAAAGAAGACGATTCGTTGTACCGTTATCGACACTTAATTCTTGTCTGAATTTAGTGACCAGTGACCCCCACCCCCTCCCGCGCGGAGCTCGGAAGCTTTGACTTTTCATTCAATTATTACACTTAATCATTGTCTGAGTTCATTTTTGTCCTTCCCGCGCGAGGCCCGAAAGCTTTGACGTTTTATTAAATTATTAGAGAAAGAAGACGATCCGTTGTACCGTGGTCCACTTTTAATCCTTGTCTGAATTCAGTTCTCCCCCCCCCACTCCCGCACAAAGCGCAGAAGCCTTCATGGTTATTACATTATTAGAGAAAGAAGACGATTTGTTCTACCGTTCTTGACTCATAATCATTGTCTGAATTTTTAAAAAGTTTTACTTTGTCTGAGAAAAAAAATATCGCAGTTCGTAGGGAGAACAAATTTGCCGGCCGACAGACATATTTCAAACTTCTGCATTGATATAGTATACGAGGATCGAGCAAGAATATCGACATAGCTGACCCGACACAGCAACATAATTATATATGCGTATCTTTCTTGCTCCCTCGACGAGGCGACTCCACCTAACAACCCGCCCCCCCCCCCCCTCTCGCACTATAGGCTCTAACTCTCTTGTAGCCCCCGTTTTTTTCTTCCTTTTCTTCTTTTCCCGTTCTCTTTCTTTTCTTTCTTTTCCCTTCCTTTCTTTCCCTTTCCCTTTCTCCCCCCCTTTCTTATTTTTTCCCGACGGCAGCGCAATTTCACCGACAATATCCTGACAGATCTAAAGGGGGAGATGTCGCACCCATCCCCCCCCCCCCCCATTTTAAGCGACGCCCCTGCCTGCACGTACTCATTGTTTGCAATGTCATAGCAGCGCCCATTTGACACTAAGACTGCACGGCTCGAGAAAAAAAAAACACGAGGCATGAGATGACAATTATCATTAATTTCTGTTAATGAAGTGCAATCAAGACTATATAATACTAACTGGATTAAAAGAATACACTTAAAACAAAAATAACAAACGAGATATATTTTCCCTAGTTGTCATATTCCTAAAATCGTTGCGCACCCTACTTGTCAATATAATTATGTATACTGTAATTATCATCATTAATTTAATGTCCACCGTTAAGCTTTACTCCAAGAAGGGGGGGGGGCCTCATTATGTACCCGGTTTCGCATAATAGCATTTACGTGAAAGTAAAAATCTAGTCTCTCTGTATTTTGTTATCCGTCCTGCAGGTAAAGAAATGTCGGCTATCTACTGAGATGACTGCCAGAATGTGGTCCTGTCTCAGATCCTTCACCTCACTGGACCATCTCACCATCTCAGACTCCTCTCTCAGTTTTCCCCCATCTCCTCCTGAGCTTCTATCCATCACAAAGCTGTCAGCTAAGAGAGTGACGTCACAAAGCTATGAAGGTCTGCTCTCATCGCTTCCCGGCTTGATAGATATCGATATTACTATCGATGATGCAGAGAGAGACATACCTCAGATCACGGCTGGTCTTCGTCGGACCGGAGGACAGCAGCTCACACACATCAACCTTAGAGCACCGCCATCACTCCCATCAGAGAAGAACAGAGTATCGAGAGAGACGATGAGAGGCTTCGGTCTACTGATCAGAGAACAAACCAATAACCTGCAGCGGCTAGATCTGAGAAGGGTGAAGTGCACAGACGAAGAAGACTTGGTTTACCTCATCGAGTGCTGCAGACATGTGAAGACGATGTCATGCGTGTGGTAGGTTCTTGTTCAAATCGTGTATAAGATAGATTAAAATCCTACTAGATTATTCTATTCAGTTACTCTGCAGTAGTAAAGCATAATGAAGGGATGAAATGCGTGAAGGGATGAAAAAGGTTAAAACGTAGGTGTAACTTCCAAGTTTTTGACTGACAGTTAGAATGGGTTTTGATTATCGCTCTCAAATGTTATTTTATAATTTTTAAGTAGCAATGAATAGAATTTGAATGCCTGTATTGAAAATCCAAAATTGTAATATGCAGTTGAATGTATTATTAATATTACGCACCGTCGGAAGCTAATTTAATGTAATTCAATGTCCCGGGGTCCATGTTGACTTAAAATACAAACCATATCCTTATAACATTAATTAATATTATTATTACTATTATAATTATTACGATTATCATTATTATCATTTTAACATTCTAGCCCATAATTCGACTTATAATTTTTAATTTTAAAAGCTTAAACAATGCCAAACTAGGGGAAATTACTAGTTTTCACGACCCCCCCCCCCCCCCCCCCGCCGGAGCTTGATTCATCATCTAACATTAATTTCGATTTTAAATATCTTCAGGCCCGTAGCCAGAGTTTGATATTTTTTTTTTTTTTTTTAATTTATTGATTGATTGATTGATTGATTTTTTAATTATTATTATTATTATTATTATTATTATTAATATAATTTTTTTTCGGGGGGGGGGGGGAGGCACATAGACCTAGATCTACATTGATCGACGTCCTGAGGAGGGGTCTAACAAAGTTCAGCAAAGCCCCACCCCCTCCCCAGTGGCTACGTGCCTGAATATTTTAGAAAATATATTTGTTATTAAAGGCTGAATCATTTTTGCCTTTAAACTGATGCTCGTGAGCTGTTTCATCGAATCAAATTTAAGCTAGAATCGATCTTGATAAATGTTAGGTTAAATGTAAAGGGCTCTGTGATCAAGGCTAGTCGATGTTAGGTCGATGTTAGTCGATGTTTAAAGAAACAGTTAAACATTTTTTATGTAAGTGCCCACTCTTTCTTATAGAGAGAGCCATGCTTATAACAGAATCTGGAATAGAAAACGAAGAATTAATCCCAATACTCCTGAAATCAACAGATATTAATCACCAACAGGCTCTGGTTAACTTCGTAGTTAGATCTAAAAGGGTACACCTGTACCCCTACTAACCACCTTGCACCGCACATAATTATTTGAGCCCAATAATGTTTCGCTTTTTATAGTGAGTATACATGTACATGAAGAAGAAAAGTGAGAAAGAAGAAAAAAAAAAAAAAAAGAAATTAGAAGAGAGAACTGTCTATATTAACGTTTAAAATCTTCATGTATCATGATCTGTTTTTTTTTATTTTTTGGTTTTCGGTCAAAATTTTGAAGAAACACGATGGAGACGACTAGACATATTGGTGGACGTCGGAGGGCCTAGGCTCAGCATTAGGCTGAGTTGAGAAGCTTGTCACTACGTACCGTGTCCGAGTTGGTCCTTGGGCGTCCTATATAGCCGATAAGCCTTTTGCTCGCCAGCCACTGAATTCTTCATCATTAAATAAAAGTTTAGCTTTTAAAAATCCAATTTATCCAAATCTATATATAAAAAAAAGTAAATCTAATTTTAAAGGAATAAAAATCCTGAGAGAAGAGGCGTAAATATTCACTTCTGAATGAAAAACGCCTATAAATTAAAACAACAACAACCCATAGAGATATATACTTAATAACACTAGAGGGCGTACTCGCTCAAATTGCTGTGTGGACACGGAGCTGTGGCCGCCATTACTAAGGAGGGCAGAAAAACGAACGACCCAACAAGATACTGTGCACAACATACGTGGAAAAAAATGGAGAAGCCAGGTTCGTGCGTTGCATTTGGATGTTCGAACCGAAGAAAGAAAGGGAACTGCATAATATTTCACAAGTAAGTTCTTTTTAATGTTATGTTGATTAATAAGGATATTTTAGAGCTAAAAATGTAGTTTATGCAGTGACTGTAGTCTGTACCCGGGTTGTCTCATGACAAGCCACCGCAGCTCCTGCAGCAGCGGAGCGCGCCAGTCCACGCCCGCCGGGCTGGGGCAGGCATGGGTTAAGGTTCTGGGGATGGTGATGGGAAAATTCTGCTGCGCTGGAGTCGCTCGCAACTCCAAGAGCCAGAGAGTCCAACTCGGAAATATAACTCCATGAGCTTGATTCTATCAAAGAAAATTCTAGAATAAAACGATACAATTAATTTTATCTCATCTAATTTCAAGATAAAAATCAAATGTCAACTTCTTTAGATCTATATTTTAACTATAGACTAGACTCTAGATCTAAGTTAGATCTAGACTCTAGATCTAAACTCTACTCTCTAATTTCTAAAGCCCGAAAGGCAAAGCCAGGTTAGACAGATATAACCATCTGATATGGGTCATTTCTTTAATAAAACTGACATTTGTTGACATTCCCCATAATATAATCAGAGGTCTAGTGGAGCCAGACGCAGTCTCAGTAGAACAACCGACGATATAGAGAGACTGAAGCGTTTGGTCTAAGCCAGGCTAGCCTGCCAAATTTCACATCACAGGAGTTATCCAACTAGGCTAGGCTAGCCTAAAAATCCCACCGCACACTACACTATTTATATCAAATTTGCTTATGACTTGCTGACATCATTATTATTTTATTTATTTGGCTGGAAGCTGCTTTCAGTTTCAGTCTTAAAAATCACATGAAATAGCATGAATAGTAGAACAATTGTCATGTTATGAGAAAAAACTCATTATTGTTTCCATTTGCTTTTATTGTAATGCAGGAATACACCCAAGAGAGGAAAGGATGTTACACACCACATCTCATTCTTAGAGCTGTGCCTACTGTCTTTCCTGGACATCCTCCCTATAAACAGACCCATGGCTCAAGACTCCCAGCAAAACCATGTAGAACATCCAAAAGTGTTCCCGTGCCTCCAAAGAAACCCTATGACATTACAAAAGAACATGACTATTCTTTTTCTGTCTGAGTTGATTAGAAACTGAATATAACCAGACAGCAAGTGCAAGATGCCAAGAAACAGCTTAAAGTGGTGAAACAAGGTAAACAGGAGAGATGGAAAAACCAGGACTCTCTTGCAGGAAATCCACGAAAGCAAGCTCATTAGCCAGGATCAGCTTGACCTACTTCAACACAACTTTGGAGAGAACGCATTTTCAGGAAAAACAAAACAAAACATAGAACTTCATTCGTACAAACTACAAAGACAGATCGGTCTTTTCTATTTTGCCTCTTGTCTGCATAGCTTATCCACTGGATGATTGACTGTGAAGCCGTTTAAAACTGGAAAGAGCTTTCAATAATCTTTTAAAAAAACAGAACAATCTGAGACTTTTGTTCTGTGTAATGAAATAAAATGTTGGGGACACATTGTGACAGTTGCACAACCTAACCATAATTTTCTGTTTGTTAACTTTACACGAAGGCAAACTAAAGTGGAACTTAGAAGAATTGATTACATTAGGGGTTAAACAAAATGTACTTGAATTTTGAGTTGTTGTGAGGTACACTGTATTTGAATATTTACTCTATAAGCTTCATGATTGTACCTGCTGTATCTGATTCAGTTGCTATAATTCGTCCCTATTTTCAGGAAGTGACGGTAGTGAGGAAAATCGTAACGCAAAGTGAATGCATTTTTTTTCACTACCGTCACTTCGTGAAAACAGCGACAAATTTTTGCAAATTATTTGCACTCTACATGTGCTTTGATTCTGCAGGTACAGTATGGATAACCTGAGATAAACATGTAGACCTTTTTTATAACATTGTCTGGATTGCTCTCAACCAAGTGATTTACATCATTAAAGATGAAAGCAAGAAATTCACATCAAGTGAGCCTATTTTTAATAAACGAGAAGAATTCACAGATGTGTGGCAATTGAAAAGCCTGTGTAATGCACACCATATACACACCCATAGATCGTTTTGTACATAGGTTTGAATTTTGTTCCAAAATGGAAAACTGCTTTTGAAGAGATTTGATAACAGAAAAATTATATGGAATAATGTCACTAGATGTAAACCCATAAGATTGTGCACTCTTTGGCTTGTTGTATCTACTGTGTACATTTGAGGGTAATCAGTTTCAAATTTATTATTACACCTGATGAATAATGATGTCAAAAGACCATGTTACTATGAGGTTTCACTGAATAGTGTAGTGCAGTATCCTGAGATGTAAGTCTCTTCAATTATAGTTCTTCATAGCAATACAGGTGACTTGGAATATATACATGTATGCTCAATTACTATTTCTGGTTTGCATTTATTACTCGATGTATTATTTGTAAATGTGACGCGCCTGCGTGCGCTTGGAGCCAAGACTAGTTAATAAAGTGTTCGTTATCGCTGACATCTTGACACATAGACATTGGCCTCCTGACATTTATGTTTTGGGAGTTATTGTGGTGGTTTTCGGATGTGTAATGCTTGTCTTTGGTGGCGAATCAATTTGTTGTGGTTGTGTTGCCTATGATCCGTGACAGTAAATTTGGGGCTAAAATCTGAGGTGTTGTTTTTGCAATGTTTGTCTTTTCAAATGTGATGTATTATTGCAGTATATATGTTCGATAAAATGTCAAAACTTAAATGCCTATGCTGTAGAATATCAACACACGTGTGCCGTGTGGTAATAAAAGGTTCATTTATTCATTTTTTTTCTTCAAATTTAATTATAAGTTTATTCTCTAAAACTGGTTGATGAAGAAAATAAGAAATACACTGTATCAAGGAGAATATTATTTATGGAGAAAAAAAGTGGTGTGAATAAATAATTATTACATCAATGATCAGCTGTTTTTAAAGAATATTCATATATATTTATAGTGAACTGTAAAAATTGAATTACTCTTTCAGACAAAAATAGAGATTTTATATAGAATGGGTGAAAGACATAAGGTGTGAATTTGATATAAAATGAGTGAGAGAAGAAGAAAAAGAATGTTTGGATGGATGGATGAATGATTGGATGAGTAAATAACATAATTTTTTAAAATAAATGTGTAGGCCTATAAT